AAAAAAAAATGGTCACTACGTTTCTTTTTTAAAAAACAACAAAACACAGTGACCAAATGTTTATGGGCCTATACAATAAAATTGATCACCTAATTGCCTGGCATGGAAATCTATTTTGTGTCTCCAAAGCTGGGCATGACATAGGCATCTAGTTGTGATAAACTGGGCCATTCATTAATGTTATTTGAAGCATGCTGATTTACCCCTATGAAGGAGCTGACAAGTAAAACAGAAGAATAAAGGCTCTGATGATGTGAGACCCTTTGCATATTACACTTGTTTTCCCAAGATTCCACTTTGGTTAATATTTCACTTTGTGGCTCCAGTGGGTATCATATTCCAGACACTGTCGAGTTGTGTGATTCGGTATGGAGAATGTATGAATAGCTGGACTGTGCACATGTATCAAAGGACTCCTAGTTTGGTGCTAGTTCCTTCTTGTAGAGGTGAAGAGGATATGCCATCTTCAAAGACTGAACTTTTTAAAAAAATCCTTTTTAAAATGTTTTTTTTTTTAAATCATTTTCCTTATACTAATAAGCATTGCAACCTCAGTTAGGTTCTTATACAAAATTGCCTCTTCCTCCCTCAGTGGAAGGGCAAGGAGAGATTGAGAGAGGGAATGGAAACTGATTTAAGAGCTTGGGTTTAGATAGCGTTTGCAGGTTGACCATCCCTTGTACGGAATTTCGAAATGCAAAATACTTGAAACTCTAAAATTTCCCACATAGTGGCTGAGATAGTGACACTCTGGTGGTTTAATTGACACAAATTTTGTTTCCTCCAGTCTCTGTATATGTGTATGTGAAACTTAAATGAATGAAGAGAAGGCTGAGAGGAGACATGATAGCCATGTATAAGTATGTGAGAGAAAGTCATAGAGAGGAGGGAGCAAGCTTGCTTTCTGCTTCCTTGGAGACTAGGATGCAGAACAATGGCTTCAAACTGCAAGAAAGGAGATTCCATCTGAACATTAGGAAGAACTTCCTGACTGTGAGAGCTCTCCAGCAGTGGAACTCTCTGCCCCGGAGTGTAGTGGAGGCTCTTAAACAGAGGCTGGATGGCCATCTGTTGGGGGTGCTTTGAATGCAAACTTCCTGCTTCTTTGTAGGGTGTTGGACTGGATGGTCCACGAGATCTTTTCCAACACTATGATTCTATGATTCATGTTTAGATAAGTCCAGTCTCCAAGATATCTCATTATGTTCTTATATGCAAATATAGGTATTGCAAATCCCCCCTTCAAAAAAATCCAAACTCCAAAACACTTCTGATCATAAGCATTTCAAAGTGATACTAACAGGAGCGGGGCGCAGGGAGCATACAACTCCTCTGCTGCACCAGCTCCACTGGCTGCCGATATGCTACCGGGCTCAATTCAAAGTGCTGGCGTTGGCCTTTAAAGCCCTAAACGGTTCTGGCCCAACTTATCTATCCGAACGTATCTCAGCCTATCAGCCCACCAGGACCCTAAGATCTTCTGGAGAGTCCCTGCTCTCTATCCCTCCGGCTTCAGAAGTGCGGCTGGCGGGAACGAGAGACAGGGCCTTCTCTGTGGTGGCCCCTCGGCTTTGGAACACCCTCCCTATAGAGGTACGATCAGCTTCTTCGCTGATGGTGTTTCGGAAGAGATTGAAAACATGGTTGTTTAAACAAGCATTCGGCTAATCCGTTGCAATCGAATTCTGGTGACTAAAGGACAGGTAATCATGGACAACGAATTTTGGATTGTGATTTTAGTTCGAGATGCATGGGATTATTATTGGTGGCCCAATAATTGATATTGTATGTGTTGTATGTTTTAAATTGAAGATTGTTTTTTAATTGTTGTAAACCGCAATGAGTCGCCGACTTAGGCTGAGATATTAGCGGTATACAAGTGTACAAATAAATAAATAAATAAATAAAGTGTACATGGCAGCATGCAAGTGAGCAAACTTCCGTAGCACAAGTAGAGCCTGATATGAAAAGGAGAGATGGTGATAGGGTCTGCTTGTCCCATCACCAGGGCACATTTCCCCCCTGCTTCCCTTCCTCTTCAGTCTGGATTAGGACTAAAATTGGTTCTTCTCTTGTTGAGAATTGCACAGGACCCTCTCATCTCCTGGCCTAATTCAAGCAAACACTGAAGGGATGGTATGCGAGTTAAAGCATCAACAATGACTATTGACTGGATATACTTAACATTGTTTCTTCTAGCCTAGTAAAACTAACGGGTTCAAATAAACCTTCACACCTCCTACTTATATTTCTTCCTCTTTTCTTCTCTGCAGTTCCTGGCTTCATTATGGCATGAATCTTACTCTCAACTATTACTCTCAGACTATCGCCTGTTTACAACTCATTTTTACCTGTCACAGAACTCTTTTTAGACTATGTATTGTCGAAGGTTTTCATGGCTGGAATCACTGAATTGTTCTTTATTTACTGTTATGATTTAGAGTTTTTTTAAATACTGGTAGCCAGATTTTGTTCATTTTTATGTTTCTTTTCCGTTCTATTGAAATGAAAAATCTCTAAAATCATAACAGAAAATAAAGAACAACACAAAAACAGGGGAATTCCAGATAAGAAACAATGAGGGACAGCTAATCACCTCTCAACAAAGGATTCCCCCAGGCAGTAAGAAGACACACCATGAAACTGTTAGGCCATTAGATGCTAATCAAGGCCAGTTGAAACATTCATACCTACCTCCAACAGACAAGAGTTCTTACTCCCACCCTGGACATTCCATAAATATATAAACTTCACTTGCCTAGTTTCCAACAGACCTCACAACCTCTGAGGATGCCTGCCATAGATGCAGGCGAAACGTCAGGAGAGAATGCTTCTGGAACATGGCCATACAGCCTGAAAAACTTACAACCTCTTTTTAGACTGATTTTTTTAAAAAGGCAAATCATTGTATTTAACAAAAGGCAGAACATTTGTCTTACATCCTCCTAAACCACATCAGATAGAATCCCATTGGATAGATTTGCAAGTACAGTGGAGATTTACCTCCCTACTTGCTTCATGGTCTTTCAATCTTCTGGTTCAGAATCTGAAGCTGTGTCAGGGAGGTTGAATTACGTTTAAGATCTCCTGTTTTCAGAGGGGCGATTGTATAATACTGCTCATACATGTTTTATCTAAAAGAATGAACAGACATTCTTATTTCAGCTCCGAGGGCAATTCATGGCCAACATTGTTTCTCAATGTCTTGTCTCCTTGTTTTGTTTTGCTGAGTCAGAGCTCAAGGATGTGATTGTGCTTTGCTGGTAATGAGGCTACACGAGAGACTCTCGCAGGGGATCCTGGGGCACCCCTATTGTTCACTGATATATATAGACAGCTGAGACATGGGACTTCCCTACTCTAAGAGTCGCAGAGGGATGGATGAACATGGTGGCACAATTCACCCAAGGCACAAAATAACCCCACTGTTTTTCTTTTCTCTTATATGGTTTGGCATACAATTTGAGATGCCACAGCATATTAGGGGAATGAACCTTTTGTTGTATAAGAGGAAAATCTCTATCAGATTTTTGACAAACATTGATGCTAGTTTTTCAGGGTAGAGGGCAATCATTATTTGAAGTCATAATACAGTAAGTAGAAGAAGATGTGATCTGAAACTCGGAGCCTTAGATTCAATTGCTCAGTCAGTCCATCCCTGGCACTGCAAAAGGAAGAGCCAGTTTCTTCCTTCATTAACTGTGGCTTAATGTCGCATCAAAATAACAAACAAATTATGATTATTTTAAAATGGCATTTGCTGAAAAAGAAAAAGACAGGATTGAGCTGTTTGTGGTGAACCAGTCAACAGCCATTGATTGTTCAAGCTAACAGCCTTCAAAGTTGTTAACAGGCAGGCATAATGAGACATTTTTCTTTGTGTGTGTACCTAGACACATACATATTTGCATTGTGACAGCTCATGTCCAATCAACTTTTAAGATCTGGTCTCATTTCAGTATATTGTTCTGCCTGAATGTCTTGTGCATGTGCATCGTTTTGCTGTGATTACTATGACTCAAAACTCCTTGGGTTAATTCATTGTATTTTTGTGTTGTCCAAGGCTTTCATGGCCAGAATGACTGGGTTGCTGTGAGTTTTTCGGGCTGTATGGCCATGTTCCAGAAGCATTTTCTCCTGATATTTCACCCACATTCTCAGAGGCATCCTCAGAGGTTGTGAAGTTATGCCTGCCATATATGTAGGTGAAACGTTAGGAGAGAATGCTTCTGGAATATGGCCACACAGCCCAGAAAACTCAGAGCAACCCAATTGTATTTCTGTTATATCTGAAGTGGAAAAATATAGCTTGTGAATTCACAAGAAAGTAGATTGATGTTGGCCTCAGATCCTGATTTGTTTCAAATCTGGTAATAAATTTCCTACACTGAGAAACTATGGTAAATAACCCATGGTGATGTATATCAAGTTCAAAAGACAGAAAAGATTGCACAAAAATGGAGCATGTAGAGTCATGCATATCTTTGTTTTATTAGACAAAATACATCATGTCAAAATCAGGCCTAAGTCTCGTTTGCAAAGTATTTTGGCAGTTTTGCATCTGAAGGGCTTAAAAAATAAATATAGCACTTGGCTGCAATATCAAATGAGAGATAGATTTCTTTCCAAGCCACTAGGCATGAACTATGAGAAACAGCTAAGAAAACAGCAGATCTGACCAGTGCTCCTATGACCCTGTTATAGTAACCAGCATCTTAGCAAAGGCACTAATTAACTTCTGAAGCTCAGTTCTGCCATCCTTAGAAATATTCAGACAGTGCAGAAGAGGAAACAATAAAGGACTTGATGAGAAAGGGAAAACAGAAGTTCAACAAAAGCAGAAATAAAAGTCAATTATTGTTGGGGAAATGTATAGAGTATGCTTGGTTGATGGTGGCATGAACTGTCTTAAGGCATATTAGAAATGCAGACATTGGGGAAGATAACAGAACATTAAATATTGGTGCTTAATAAATTATTTGATCTTTGGGGTCCTTTAGGTGAAGCCAGTCACCCACAGTCGAATAAATGTGTCTGCACGGTTTCGAAAGCCTCTTCAGGAACCATGCACTGTTTTGTGAGTACCACCTTCTGTTCAGATAGATTGATTGACATTCTCATGCAAAATATCAGATTATTTGTAACTTTCCATCTTTTTTTGTTAGTCTGATTGCTAATGGTGACCTCATAAGTCCAGCAGTACGCCTCTTCATCCCAAGGAAAGCACTAAATCAATGGGATCGTGTCCTTGAAATGGTTACTGAAAAAGTCACCCTCAGGAGCGGAGCTGTACACAGGTAAGACAAAGCTGTCTATGTAGCTGGGAGGGGGGGGACTTGAGGGGCTTCAGCCCCCCCCAATTCTCAGGGTGGTCCACGAGAAGGCCTTACTGGTATTTAAACTGTTATGTTTATTCATATCATGACGTGATCACCATGCTCAATATATCCCATATGCATGGGGGTATTGGGATAACGATACAAAAGGTTTGCTAGGGTAGATCCTCTCTCACTCAGACTCAGCCCCCCCCCCAATCAAAATCCTGGCTACGGGCCTGTGTGTGGTGTAGATAAAGAACCACATTTTCATTTTCATTGACATCCAGTAGAAATTAAATAGAGTCAGTATCTATTAGACATGTATGCAAACTTTGTTTCTACCGTTTCTACCATTTCTTTTGTGTCTTCCGTTTCTTTGGACGCACAAAATGGGAAGCCTATCTCCACATTAAAATCTGCTCAACATAAAACCCTGCTTTTGTGTTCACCCAAACTTGCATCCTTTCCTTGGAAAGTGTGTGTGTGTGTGATTGGGCATGCAGGCAGGCACCCAACGAAAGCAGGGACACAAAACGGGACAAGGTTTACCCCGAATGCACATGTCTGGTATCTATGATGTATATGGGATTGAGGAACCCTCCAAGCATAGGTGTAATTTGGATCATCTGAGGAAGTACACACACAGTCTATGTAAACAATATTATTCCCTCAGCCTTTTAGATGTTACCTTTGCTTATTTCACTATTTGGTTGAAGCTGCTGATATGTGCATGTCCCTTCATTATATGTTCAGACTTGAACTTCACAAGTGGCATTATTTATCTGTTTGGTATGTGTTTCTCTATATACAAAAAGTAAAATATTTACTTTTTTAGCTATTAAAATATTTTCTGAATATTAAAAATAGTTTTGAACACCAAGCAGCAGCTACTGCTATTGAAAATGCATATGTGAGGGGTTTTCGTATGTGTCAGGAATGATGTGAGAAACTGCAAGTCGCTTCTGATGTGAGAGAATTGGCCGTATGCAAGGACATAGCCCAGGGAATTCTTGGATGTTTGATGTTTTACCATCCTTGTGGGAGGCTTCTTTCATGTCCCCACATGGGGAGCTGGAGTTGACAGAGGGAGCTCAACCCATTTTCCCTGGACTTGAACCGCTGACCTATTGGTCAACAGTCCTGCCAGCACAAGGATTTAACCCATTGCACCACCAGGGGTGCCTATATGTGAGATTTGACATAGTATTGTGAAAGTCTTCAAGCTTTTGTGATGTTGCTGGTCTTTGAGTGGAATTCCAGGTGGAATGCCTTCAAATAAGGGAAAGTCTGTGTTATGAAGATGAGTTTCACAGGTTTAAAGCTTCACACAAGCCAAAAAAGTCTGCCTTTGTTAGGAAAACACCTAACATTTTATATGAGTACATACTGGTTTTTTTATCTAGAAGGAGCGACATTTAAACAATAAATTGCTTGGTGTTTAATTTTTTTAAGCGATTTCCTATTTTAATTCAGTTTTTCCCCTAGTTTTTGAAAGGCTGAAAGAACACACTAAATAGCTTAGTGAAATTCATCATTGTTTAATAATTCACCGATTAGCTACTGTGGTTTATGGTAACTGGGCTACAATTAGCCAAGGTTCCAGTAAAGACTGCTGATTCTGATAAAGATAAAACTCTTGATTAAGTAAATGAATGCAGCATTATGAGTTTAACACAGCCCAGACTATTCAGTCAGTTGCACATGTCAGTAACAACACAGATTTGTGCATTCCATTTCTGGTACGTGAAAGCAATCAGCAGTTATTAAAGAATAACTCAAAGTGGAGCAGAAAATATGTGGCTGGTCAGCATCATCCACAGTGCCCGAAACAATCAAAATTTATTATGATGGAAGTGAGGAGTCTAGTTTATTGGATAGACAGAAGAAAATGAAGAGTGAGCAGAATTTCGAAAAGTTATTTTGGATAATATTTCCCAGAATCTCGAGCAGTCACTGTAGCACCTCAGCAAGTGTTCACCTTGCTCACAGCACTCAGCAGGAAACCAGACACGGTAATAAAGTTTATTGATAAAACACATAAAATAAATGGCCAAATTCACCTTAAGCAAATAATCGGGTGAAAATCCAAGTGTAAATCAAGAAAGCAAGTCGCAAAGGCAATAGATAAATCCAAAAACAAAAACAAAACATGAACATTAATCTAGAAAGCAAGGAATAAAACAAGAACATGAATCCATAAAGCCAGAAGCAAAACTTTACCAGGAATCTCAGGTTTTAAGCTAAAGCATGAACCAGGAACCAGACAGGAGTTTCTCACTCCAGTAATGACATTGCTTGATCTGAAAACCTAACAGCTCTCTCCCTGATTTAAGGGCTGCAGAACATGAACACATTCCTTTGACCTTGAGAGGCCCACTTCTGCCTCTCTTTCCCATGGCTTTTCTTGCACCTGAATTTCTGCCCCCTCAGAAGCAGCCTGGTATCTAAGCCAGCAGTTTCTTGGATGACCTCAAGTTATCCTCTCCTCCCTGCCTGTTGGCTTCCAAATCAGTTTCACTCTCACACTTTGACTCAGCCACAGCATCTTGCTCCAAAAACCCCTCCGTTCTTTCAACTGGAGAGCCATCTTGTTCTAAGGAAAATCAGGCCTTGCACTCCCAAACCCCTCATCTTCATCAGCTAGCTGAACCCCAACAGTCATGCAGGCTTAGAGATTCTAGAAGGCATTGTCCCAAAATTCTTCCAGTCTATGAGCTGAATTCAACTTCAGAAATGTTCTTGGGGGTTCAATTCTGGTGTTTTTCCTCCCTTTAAATCCAAAATTGAAACATTTATTTTACTGTTTTATATAACAGATGCAATTTTTCTGTGCATCCTCAGATTTTGGTATTCATAGGAAGGTGGGCGGGTCCTGAAACCAAACTTCAGCAAATACTAAAGAGTTGCGGTGATGTAATGGGTTAAACTCTTGTGCCGGCTGAACTACCAACCTGAAGGTTGGTGGTTCGAATCCATGAGATGGGGTGAGCTCCTGTCTGTCAGCCCCAGCTTCCAATGCAGGGACATGAGAGAAGCCTCCCACAGGATGGTAGCACATCCAGGTGTTCCCTGGGCAATGTCTCTGCTGACGGCCAATTCTTTCACACCAGAAGTGACTTTCAGTTTCTCAAGTTGCTTCTTACACAATTGAAAAAAAAGCAAATACTAGGGACCTACTGCATTCAGACATGATTTTGCCAATTTCTGCCTCTGGGATATAGCCACTAATGTTCTGTGGCAGTGTGCCATCCAAGTCCTAACCAGAGCTCATCCTGCTTAGCTTTCAAGGTCACATGGGATCTAGTGCCTTAAGGTTTTTAGGCCTAGCAGGAAAATTTGGACCAGAGTAATTCTTTGAGGATTCTGAATCCTTGAATTACACAGATTTCCAATCAGAATTTTGAGTAGAAGAAATGAACTAATCTTATATCCCATCTAGTGGCTCCTGTTTAGCGGTGCAGGTGTGGAAAAGAGGTTCTTAAGATATTGGTGGTTTGGAAATGATACTCTGTGGCATAAAAGATGCTAGTGAATATCCTTGTTTCTCTTATTCTCAGTCACGTGATAGCAAAATATTGATATTTATTTATGTATAAAGCTTAGTTTGAGCAAATAACTCAAAATAGGGCTTCTTTTTCTTTTTAAATCTTTCAGTCGTCTGTTGAGGGGAGTGAGCAAAGAGGAGCAAACATGAGATGTAGGCAAAACATCAGGAGAGAATGCTTCTGGAACACGGCCATACAGCCCGGAAAACTCATGGCAACCCACATGATATAATATTTGCAATTTTATGTCTCCTTAATGTAATATAGGTAATGTTTAGGCAACAGTGTGACTAAGCTTATTGATGGCATTCGCTTCAAAATATCATAGTAAATCCACAATCTTGTCATGGCTTGGATAAAACACTTTAAGAAACACGGATATATTTCACACAAACACTTTCTTGAAAAACTCAGTTTACAGATAATACATGAATGCATTAGGCTAGTTCTCTGTTCCACTTCAGGCCAAATTTTCAGAATATTTCTCCTGTAGATATGTAAGTGAATAAATGGAAGCAATCCCAGATTGGTGGGGGTTCTGCTATTGGGGTCTGACGATAATTTCTTCCTGTCTGCTTAATATTGGTTTCTCTGAATGGAAAATATATACCCAGTTAATTCATTCTCTCTTGGGGTAATATGCAGAGCAACAAGGGTATTGTATAAGAACTGTTAAAGAACAGCATTGGTTAAAAATTCATGAATCTGTTGTATATCATTACAGGCTTTACACCTTAGATGGAAAACTTGTTGAGAGTGGGTTGGATTTAGAAAATGGACAATTTTATGTTGCTGTTGGTAGAGATAAATTTAAGAAGTTGCCTTATAGTGAATTACTATTTAGCAAGTCCACAATGAGGAGACCTTATGGGTAAGTTCATTTTTTTGCACTAGCGATAGTTACGACATACGATTGCATTTATGAACATGATTCCTAATAAAACAGTGCCATAAATCACATTGTTTCTGTTACAAGGGATACAGTAGGATTATGAAGGATTTGAAAACATAGTCCACAAGTAAATTGTTTATCTGTGTGAAAAACAGTGCAAAAGTCAATTCTCTGTATTTTCCACAGACTGGTATTACTTGTTGCCTTTAAAAAAAAACAACCTATTTACAGTATTAGTTAAATTATCTTGCCTTTTCTGAGCTCAAGTTAATGTACATGACTGTCCTCATCTTGTCACCACAGCCTTGTTATGTAGGCCTGATTGATAATTATGGTGACAGTTATCCTCCTCCTTCTCCTCCTCCTCTGAAATTGGGAATCAATGCAGCTCAAATTTTGAAAAAACCCCCAATGTAATTTAAAACATACAGAAGTAAACACTAAAATAGAATTAAAATAGCATTAAAACAGTCCACATCTCAGTAAAAAAATAAACATATTAATGGCACTGCAATTTAAAATTCTGGATGACCCCTCCCCCCACCATTTTAAAATACAGGTTGAATATCCCTTATCCAAAAATCCGAAATGATTCAAAATTGTCCACATGGATGACATTCTAATGTTTTAATGTACACAAACTTTGTTTTATGACAAATATTTAAAATTACCATGTGTAAATAGCATGGAGCCCTCGGTGAACACAATTTGTCAGTGGGCTAAAGCACTGAGCTGCTGAACTTGTTGACCGAAAGGTCACAGGTTCGAATCCAGAGAGTGGCATGAGCTCCCTCTGCCAGCCCCAGCTTCTGCCAACCTAGCAGTTCGAAAACATGCAAATGTGAGTAGATCAATAGGTACCGCACCAGCGGGAAGGTAACGGCACTCCATGAAGTCATGCTAGCCACATGACTTTGGAGGTGTCTATGAACAACGCCGGCTCTTCGGTTTAGAAATGGAGATGAGCACCAACCCACAGAGTCAGACATGACTGGAATTAATGTCCATGCTATTTACCTTTACTAAATAGCATGGAGGGGGAAAAACAGAGCTGTGAGAGACTCCCTAAGCCAATATCCAGGGATTGAAAAGGAGTCCCCCAGGACTATCTTCTGGGTTTTCCCCTCCAGGAAGAAATGAAGCCACAGTAAACCAGTATTTCCAATTCCCATGTCAGAGACGTGGCCCAGAAATATACCATGGTCAATTGTATCAAAAACCACTGAGAAGTTCAGACTAAAGGGACATGGTCTCACTGATGTTTTTGTGGGGTAGAACCTGGATCTCACAAATGACAGTCCAACACTCTAGCCTGCTTGCTATCTCCTCAATACAGATTTTAATGAACGTAATGATGAAATTTGTTGAATTTTTAGTAGATTTTTAGCATGGGTATGTCATCATCAATTATATCTTGTTGTCCCCCAAGATAGGTTTGTGGTCCATTGCAAAATGTACCACGTAATCCCTTGCATCCATGCATCCTGGGAAGATATGAAGTTTGCCAGCAATATATGGGACAGTTGTAATATAGCAAATTATTATCCTGATAATGTCCAGAGTTTTTAGAACTTAATGGATGATTATTTGTTTTTGTAGTGCAAAAACATCCTCATTACCTCCGGCTGGTGGATCTGGAAAATCTAAAGGGAGTGTAAGTGTCACAGTGCATGATAGCTATCAAGCTTTGTTCCAACAGATGGGATCTACTTTGAGGACCTTATCACATTGGGATACTGTTTCTGAGACTCTTTGAACACAATTCTGGACAGGTCCTATTACATGTCATTTGTCCCATTCCATCCATTGAAATTCATCTGCAACACATTGTAGAAACTGAGTAATTGCACATGGAATTCTAAACATATTTTTTATTATTTAATACTAGCTTGGGAACCTGCCGCTGCCTGGCTTATTTGAGAAAGGCATTGTTTGTCTGTGCTCCAAGTTTAGTCTAGATCCAATGTTGCCTGGGTAGTTTGAGACTTCCAGGCTATGTCACTGGGCAATATTTTCTTTAAGTGACATAGGGAAGCATTCGAACAGATTGGGAGGAGTCAGCCTTTCATGGTGTGATGAGTCAAAGCACAGTTCAAAATGTAAGAATCTAGTGTGATGGGGTCAGTATGCCATTGGAATACAGTATGCATCCATTCCTTAAAAATATGGGATGCATACGAATATAAATGGAGTATATGTATCCAATACCTCAACAACAAACCATACTCTATGGCTTTCAGGTACTCTGAAAAATGGCTGTGCTTTTAGCTTTCCTTTCCTTTCCCCACTCTTTAGTAGAGTACACAAATCCTCTTCTTCAGACAAGAGGCATGGAAACACACTAACTTGCTCTTCTTGTACTTTTATTAGATACAAAATCATGCTTAAATGATTCCAGTACCATCAGATTTATTGCCTTCCCACCCTAAAAGCCAAAGAATAATTATGCTAATTTTATAATTTAGGAATGTTGTTGTTAGAATAATAGAATCATAGAGTTGGAAGAGACTTTGTGGACCATCCAGCCCAACTTCCTGCCAAGATGCAGGAAAATTGCATTCAGATCACCCCTGACAGATGGCCCTCCAGCTTCTGTGTAAAAGCCTCCAAAGAAGGAGCCTCCACCACACTCCAGGGCAGAGAGTTCCACTGCTGAACAGCTCTCACAGTCAGGAAGTTCTTCCTCATGTTCAGGTGGAATCTCCTTTCCTATCGTTTGAAGCCATCATTCTGTGTTTTAGTTTCCAGGACAGCAGAAAACAAGCATTCTCCCTCCTCTTTATGACTTTCCCTCACATATTTATACATGGCCCTCATCGTGTCTCCTCTCAGTCTTTCCTTCTGCAGGCAAAACAAGCCAAGCTCTTTAAGCTGTTCCTCATAGGGCTTTTTCTCCAGACCCTTGATCATTTTAGTCGCCCTCCTCTGTTGTATGACTTCAAGTCATTTCTGACTTTTTGCAATTATCACAGGGTTTCTTGACAGGGCTCTTAGAAGATCTTTAGCTGTCTCTGTCAAAGAGTTTCAGTGTCTCACCAAACTTCAAATCCCATGATTCCATATTTTTGAATCATCACAGTTATAATGATGCCAAGCTGTAATCATTCTACAGTGTAGATGCACCAAATAGACTTGCCTAAGGACACCCAGTGGGTTTCTCAAGTCAAAATGGGATTTGACTTCAGAATGTCTTAGTCCAGAGCTCAAAACACTATACCATGCTGGGTGTTGCAATTCAGGAATGTTGATAACAACAACAATAAATCACATATAAATGTATCAATTTAATAGGTATAACTGTATGCTGTTTTTAGACATTGTCACACAATAATTAAAGTTTCTTTTTCTTTGGTGGAATGATCACATCAGTCAAAATCTGCTGACACAGGAGAAGCAGTCTCCTCTCCTCAACCTCCAAAAGGAAAGGAAAAACATGCACAAAATCAAGAGTTTAGGAAACATGCAAAATCAAAAACAATGATCAAATCTTATGCAGTCACAGACAATGGTAAGTACTCAAAGTTCATACTGATATTTTGAGAAACTCAACAAAAAAGGAAGACAATTGATTCAGGCCTTACGGTCTTTTTCAAATGTATTTATTCCTTGACTGCCACATTTTCCCCTACTTGTACATTTTAAACCAGTGGTGTCAAACTGATTATCATTGGGGGCCACATCAGCTGTATGTTTGCCTCCAAAGGGCTGATGAAACTTATATAGTCACCAGTGCTTTTTAGTTTTTACCTAATTTGGGTCCCCAGATGTTATTGAACAGAAATTCTCATTACTTTTTATTATCTGCCATGCAGATGGAGATACTGGGAATTGCAACATGGTGGCTGCATTCAGGTCACGAACCTTGAGTTAGACACATGCGTTTTAAACAATCTTCCAGGCCATTCCCATACAGAATGCATTGCAGTAGTCAAGAGGTAATGAAGTTATGTGGCTAGATCTGACTTCTGTAGGAAGAGATGCGGTTGGCCTGGTATGATCATTTTTATCTATTAACCACTTGGTCTTCTGGGATCAATAGAGCCATAGCTTCTGCCAACCTAGCCTTTCAAAAACATGCAAATGTGAGTAGATCAATAGATACCACTTCGGTGGGAAGGTAAAGGCACTCGATGCAGGCACATGAACTTGGAGGGGTCTACGGACAACGCTGCCTCTTCAGCCTAGAAATGGAGATGAGCACCAAAGCCCCTTGACATTAAGTCTAGTTGTGTCCCAGAGTTGGACACAACTAGACTTAATGTCAAGGGGACATCTTTACCTTTACTTTAGACCCAAAATGGTAAAAGCCAAAGGCAAATATATATGGCCAGAGGAACTAAATGTTTATTACTGTAATTGCCAGCAACAGTTAGAGTGTAGTTAATTGATACCTGAAAAAGTAATGACTTAGTATATGATTGTGGAGAAATGTTAACCTAACAATCCTGCATTCTTTTAACATCTTTCTTGAAGCAGAAGTAAGTAGACTGATCTAAATAAATGGTATGAATGTAATATTTGTTCCTTGTTTAGCTAAAAGAGAATTCTGTGATTATAGTTTCATATTTACCAATCTCTGGTACCTGCTTATGAGATGTTTTCTAAGAAAGCTGAACTTCCAACTTGGATTTGATGCAATTTGATAGATAGAAAAGGCCCTTAAGGTTGTAGAATTAATACAGTTTGAGATTACTTTGACTGCTTATCAGTGGCATGGAATCATGGGATTTGTAGTTTGGTAGAGAAGGCTAAGGATTTTGTAAAATTACAACTTCCACAATTCCATGGTACCAGGCTATGGCAATTAAAGTGGTGTTGAACTGCATTAATTCTACACTGTAGATGCACTCCTTGTGCCATTCCACAGTTCAGCAGTCATCTCTCACTACCTTCTGGTAACCATCTTTTTAGAAGACCAAAGCCCCTGAAAAACAGTATGTACATAGCAGATATTCAGCTATTTGTCATATAACTGTGAAAATGAAGGCAATACTATTTATTTTTATGAATACTTATACATTCTTTAGATAAAAAAATATTTTGTTGTGGGATACACAATCATACAATATCCATTGTTCTAAAACACAGTATCCTGAAAGATTTGTAAGAATGTTTTCAGTTTGGATTTAAAAACCTAATTTTGTTGGGATATGTTGAAATGCAGAGGGAAAAGTTCTACTAAATGTCCTTCTCTGAATGACTGGAGCAGACCTCAGCAACAGGTGAACCAACTTGCAGACCTCTCCAGATGACCTCAAGCATCCTGTGGGTCTATAAGGGAAAAGTTGGTCTCTCAGGCAATCATATCCTAGAATGAGGATAACATGATAACAAAACCAGGTCCTCAATGCCTGGTGCACTGTGTTCCAGGTATTTTTGTTCAATGTGTTGTCAAAGGCTTTCATGGCCGGAATCACTGGCTTGCGGTGAGTTTTCTGGGCTGTATGGCCATGTTCCAGAAGCATTCTCTCCTGAAGTTTCACCCACGTCTATGGCAGGCATCCTCAGGGGTTGTGAGGTCTGTTGGAAACTAAGATAGCGAGATTTATATATCTGTGGAACAATGTCCAGGATGGGAGAAAGAACTCTCGTCTGTTTGAGGCAAGTGTGAATGTTGCAATTGGCTGCCTTGATTAGCATTTAATGGCCTTGCAGCTTCAAAGCCTGGCTGGTTGCTGCTTGGGGGATCCTTTGTTGGGAGTGTTGGCTGGCCCCAATTGATTTTTGTCTAGAACTCCCTTGCGTTTTTAGTGTCCTGATTTTGGAGTTTTTTAAATACTGTAACTAGCTTTTGTTCAGACTATCAGTGTTTGATGTAACAGTGTCAAATTTCTAGGGCCCGTGTGCCTTCAAGTCACCTGTTGACCTACTGAGACCTCATTAATTTTACAGGGTTTTCAGTACTCAGAAATGGTTTGTCATCACCTCCTTCTGAATAAAGCCTTGGGTACCTGGTATTCCTTGGAGGTCCCTTATCCAAGTACTCACCAGGGCTGGCCTGCTTTGCTTCTGAGATCAGATGGGATCTGAAGCCTTTGGCATGTTTAGTCCTCAATTTCCTGGATCTAGTTGTACCTCTATTGTATGGACATGTTCTTCCAAATTTCTAATTGCTGATCAGATTTCAATTCCTTTCTTTTGGGAGTTGGTAAGTCTTCTTAGGGGGAATTCCTTCTTATCAAATGGTAGAATCTCCCCCTGTATTTTTAGGATGCTGATAGTTTTATCCAGAGCAGGTTCATCCCTGTATCCAGTATTCAGTTTTTTGGATATTATGTGTGGATGTTGTTTTTGTAAAGAAAAAGATTTATTTGAAATAGATTTAATTGGAGATTTAACCAGCAGGTGATGAAATGATCGTTTTTATTATTTTTTTCTCCCAAGGGGGGATGAAATGTAACACATTCTACAAGGCTTGGGGAAAGTCAAATACTTTTCACAAATTCTTTGAAATGAGGGTTTTTACTACCTGCAGGGTAATAGCTTGATTTTTCCATGAATCAATCTGGTTTACCATAGAAACGGAGATATTTCAATCTATTTTATGTGCTCTTCATGCTGTGAAGAAGTTAATACATTTCCTTCTGAAAAGTGGATTATAAGACATTCATATTCAGAGATGTTTTGGCAGTAATTGCTGAGAGATGACTTCCTCAGTTGAAATGGGATCGCAACTTTGTTCAAAGGATGGATGATCAATCTATCGCGAAGGATGTTTGGCAATAGGTTGCTAGTTCAGGTCTGTCCTAGCTCCTGGGAGGTTAGAGCTGAAATCTGATAACTAAAGGCGACCCCTTTTTGACGTCATGGTTGTAGGCTTGGTGATGTCACAAGGAACATGTTATGAGGGTGATGTTTCAAAGAGTAGTATCTGATGATGTCATTAAACAGTACACATTTGAAATCAATCACAATTGCACAGGGTTGTCTCTGAGATAAAAAAGTCTGATATATGAGTCAGCTGTTAGGTTAAGGGTTCATAGAAGTCAAAGAGATGCAAAAATCGTTGAAAATAGCAACATTCTACAAGCTTTTTATACTAGTTATTTGTTTGTTTATAATTCAGATTGCTTACCGTATTGTGTATATGTGTATTGGTATGCAGTTCTCCTTAACTCTATGTTGTGGGAGGGGCTGCAGACCATGTGATCAGATCTGGAACTGTTCAAGACTCAGACTCCATTTTAGAAACAGTACAGTTTAGAAGAAAGTAGAAACAGTATGCTTTTAGAAGACTGTAGAAACAGAATGCTTTAGAGAACTGACTCCATGATACTCTATTCCACTCTCAGACCAGAGAGATGCTTTAGACTATGGACTGTTGAACTGATATGCAAAGTACCTGTATGCTGAATACATGAAGTTTGTGAGTAAATCAACTATGTTACTTTAAAGAAGTCTACTTATTTTGTCTCTTGAGAGCATGATTTAAACCAAGATGTTTTAAGGGAGAGTTGATTTTTTGGGCAACTGAAATAACACTTTTGAAACTCTGCTCTCTCCCTCCCCCTCCCTCCCTCCCTCTCTCCACACACACACAAACACACACACACACACACACACACACACACACATGTTTTTGTACATTGGCATATCTTTGTCTCTAACAGATCAAAGAGATATCTAGGTATATCAGTTTAACAGCTGAGAAACTTAGTTGCCTTGCATGAATCCTGGTGGATATTTACCACAAGGGAGAATGTTGACTCAAGTGAGTTTTTAATTCTTCTCAGGGAGATTTCTGATTTTCCCAAATTGCAATGAATGCAATTTTCAAAAAGGTTATGGAGATTTCAATTTTCCCAAAAGTTTATGGCATCAATTTTCCCAAAAGGCTATGATCTAAAAAAAATGACACAATTTCTGATGGTGTTGGCTGATTTGAATTCCTCCAAGGGAGTAATGAGGCACACTTGGCTTCACTGAACCATAAATGGTTGAGATTTCATCCCAAATGCTCTAAGCACTGAGATTCAGCATAATCTAGTTTCAGCATTATGTAGAATGTTTGACTCTGAAGACCAGTTTTGTAAGCCATGAAAACTCACTAGATGATCTTGAATAAGTAATATTATCTTAGCCTCAGAGGAAATCAAAGACAGCCCATTACAGAAAAACCCTTGCCAAGAAAACACAATGATAGGATTGCTGTAGGGTTGCCATAATGGTGTGAATGGCTAGAAGGCACACAGTGGTAGAATAGATGCTTTTCATGCATTAGGTGCCACCTGCAGTCCCTGGTGTCTGGGGTAAGTTTAAGAAAAGACCCTGGAGAGCCACTGCCTCAGCGCAGACAATATGAAACTATTGGCTTGCTTCATTATAAGGCAGTCTCCAGTGTTCTTTTAGTTGATGATGACATAGTTTACAGGTCACTCAAATAGGAAAAGCGAGGACTGGTTTATTATGAATATATATATATATATATATATATATATATATATATATGATGAATAATGTCCTGTCAATCGAATGCCTCCTTAAACTCAAATTAACAAAATATTGCTT